CCCACCCCTATAAACCCCACCCATTTTAACCCCTCGCATTAAAGCCCCACCCAGTTAAGCCCCGCCCACTCATGACCACACCCATCTAAGCTCCGCCTACCCGGGGAGGTGCCATTGGTGGCTCCGCCCCCCTGGCGGGCATTTTCCAAGATGGCGGCGGAGGGATCAGGGGTCGGAGGCCACCCACTGGCACCCACGGGGTCGTCCAGCACCTCTGGGGGCGGGGTTGGTAATCCATGATGTCATTGGTAGTCAATGACGTCATCAACAAGAGACGAGGTCACCGAATGGATGACGGTGTTGATTATCGGTGCGGTAATCAACGGTCGGTGACGTCATCAACGATCGACGGCGTTAGGATGGAATTGATGACGTCGTTGATTGGCGATCACCTCATTGGTCAACCGATGATGTCATCAACCAACCATTGACCGCCGACACCCAACCGATGATGTCATCAACCAAACAATGATGTCATCAACCAACCAACAACCCCAACACCCAACCGATGATGTCATCAACCAACCATTGACCGCTGACAACCAACCAATGATGTCATCAACCAAACAATGATGTCATCAACCAACCGTTGACCCCAACACCCAACCGTTGACCCCAACACCCAACCTGAGACCCCAACACCCAACCATTGACCCCAACACCCAACCATTGACCCCAACACCCAACCAATGACCCCAACACCCAACCATTGACCCCAACACCCAAGCACTGACCCCAACACCCAACCACTGACCCCAACACCCAACCGTTGACCCCAACACCCAACCACTGACCCCAACACCCAACTAACAACCCCAACACCCAACCAATGATGTCATCAACCAACCGTTGACCCCAACAGCCAAACACTGACCCCAACACCCAACCTGAGACCCCAACACCCAACCTGAGACGAAGGAGACCTCGCTGAAGAGCATCCACTCGGCGCTGAAGAAGAAGCGGCACTGGATGAAGCGGGCGTGGCGCCCGCCCAAGGGGACGGTGACCCAACGGGCGCTGGGGTCCTTGATGGCCCCGGCCAGGCTGTGGGTGGCCACCAGGGGCTCCCAGACGGTGGCCAAGCTCTTCTTGAAGCGACACTCGACCGCCCGGAAGATTCCGACCCCGCGCGTGTGGAGGTTGTTGCAGTGGACCTGGGGGCGTGACGGGGGTGGGGGTGACATCACATCCCATGATGCTCTGGGGTGAGGTGACCAATCCAAATGTTCTCCAGAGGGACATCCCAGACCTTCAGGTGGGGTTGGTGTGGTGGACACCCATCCATCCATCCGTGGTCAACCAATCCCAGAATTCCCAGTGTCCAAATCTCCAGAACACCCATTTCCCACCATCCCATGATGCTCTGGGGCGAGGTGACCAATCCAAAGGTTCTCCAGAGGGACATCCCAGACCTTCAGGTGGGGTTGGTGTGGTGGACACCCATGCGACCAATCCCACCAATTCCAAAACTCCCGGTGCCCAAATCTCCCAGAATTCCATGGAGCACCTGCATGGCGTGGAAGGCCCGGAGCTCCTGGAACTCAAACTCCAGCTCCACGTGGGGTTGGGGACCGGCGGGCCGTGGCCACCCCACGTAGTCGTAGCCTGGCCACAGGCGGCGCTCGCAGGTCCTCAAGAAGTCATCGAGGCCCAGGACCCCGTCCGAGAGCTGGCCCAGCCCCCCAAAGTGTAACCTGGGCAGGTGGGACACACCTGGGTGTGGGCATTGTCCCATCCCACCCACCTGGAGATCCACCAGTGACACCTGGGAACCCCCTGGTGACATCTGGGCAGGTGGGACACACCTGGATTGTCCCATCCCACCCACCTGGAGATCCACCAGTGACACCTGGGAACCCTCCAGTGACACCTGGGCAGGTGGGACACACCTGGACACCCGAATTGTCCCATCCCACCCACCTGGAGATCCCCACAGGACAACCAGGGACACTTTGGGGACACCTGGAGATGGATTTGGAACACCTGGGGATGCTCGGGGACAGTTTGAGGACCACTGGGGACATCTGGAACAGTTTGGGGACACCTGGAGATGGATTTGGAACACCTGGGGACACTCGAGGACAGTTTGAGGACCGCTGGGGACATCTGGAACAGTTTGGGGACACCTGGAGAGGGGTTGGATCCAGGAAATCTGGGAATTTTTGGGGACATCCAGGGCAGGTGGCCCTTGGGGACATCTGGGGACACCTGGGGACATTTGGGGACACCGGATACTCACGGGCCGGCGCTGAAGCCATCGTAGGTGGAGTCGTTGAGGACGATGGGGACGGGGTCCAGGGCCATGACGTGTCCCCGTGGGGCCGTGTAGGACAGGAGACCCGCTGGGGATGGGGACACGTCAGCGTGGGGACACCGTGAGGTCACCGTGGGGTCACCATGAGGTCACCATGGGGTCACCACAGGGTCATCATGGGGTCACCATGGGGTCACCGTGAGGTCACCACAAAGGTCACCGTGAGGTTGCCATGGGGTCATGAGGTCACCATGGGGTCACCATTGGGACAAGACAGGATCATCATGGGGGCACCATGGGGTCACCACGGGGTCACCACAGGGTCACCACGGGGTCACCATGAGGTCACCATGGGGTCATCATGGGGTCACCATGGGGTCACCATGGGGTCACTGTGAGGTCACCACAGATACACCGAGAAGGTCATAATGGGTCATCGTGGGGTCACCATGAGATCATGGGGTCACCGTGAGGTCACCACGGGGTCACCATGAGGTCACCACAGGGTCATGATGGGGTCACCACAGGGTCACCATGTGGTCACCATGGGGTCACCATGAGGTCACCACTGGGTCATCATGGGGTCACCACAGGGTCACCATGTGGTCACCATGGGGTCATCATAGGGGCACCACAAGGTCACCAGGGGGTCAACCATTGACCCCAACACCCAACCAATGACCCCAACACCCAACCATTGACCCCAACACCCAACCTGAGACCCCAACACCCAACCATTGACCCCAACACCCAACCATTGACCCCAACACCCAACCAATGACCCCAACACCCAACCTGAGACCCCACAGTGACAAGACCCCAACTCAGGGCCACCACCAAGGACCGCTGGGTGAAGGACGTAGCCATGGGCGACCACCACTCCTTTGGGGCCACCAGCGGGACCGAGGTGACAGGGAGGTGACAGGGAGGTGACAGGGAGGTGACACTCACACTCCCAGGGGCAGCCGTAGAGCTCGAGGCGCAGGCAGACGCTCATGGCACGCGGCGCCCTTGGGTACACCCGGAGCGCCCGGGCCACCGGTGGTGGGGACAGGTCCTTCAGCACCACCCCTTCGGGGTCCTCGTTGCCACCGATCACCTGCGGTGGCAGGGTCAGCTCAGGAGATCCCGGGGATTTCTCAGGAGCTCCAGGTCTCCAGGAGGTCCTCAAGGTCCTCAGGAGGTCCCCAAGGTCTCCAGGATGTCCCCAAGGTCTCCAGGATGTTCCCAAGGTCTCAAATCACCTCAATGTCCCCAAATCCATTTGATGTTCCCCAATGTCCCCAACACCCCCTGATGTCCCCAAATCCCCCTGATGTCCCCAAA